AAAAAAATAAAATTTGAAAACTTTAAACAATATTTCCATACCCTAAATAATTCCAAATGAAAAATTCATCAACTAATAAAGTTTGTCCACCTAATTTGATTTGAAAAGTTATGAATTTTCATGTGCTACACTATTTTTTAGAGCCAGCCTGGATTACCGACCGTCTCTAGAAATCCATTTCTACGTACTAGTGAAAATTTTCAGCAATTTCTAGAAATAGTGATTTGAGGTGATTGAACTATCTAGACGCCTTTAAAAGAAGAGGGTATTTCTAGAGGGGCCTAGTAAAATTGATTTCTTGCCAACTTTGATAGTAAGAGTCAAGAAATTGCAAGTCCAACCGCCTCTAACAATTGATTTTTAGAGATGGATTGGCTCAAAAACTATTTTTTAAACATGGTTCTTAATGGAGCCATGCATCTCTGAACTACAAGAAAAGGGCCTTTCAAAATAATTCCTACAGTATTGCGTCACCTTCCGCTGCTAATAAGAAACATATATGCGACGTGTTTACGAAGAAGATAAGATTCGCGCAGCATTACATTAGTATACAGTAGTATTTTACTATTGCGTACTCATCTCGTCAAATACTCCCGTAACGAGTAGTGGCTCTCGTTTGAAAGATGTTCAGATCGGCAGGCGGAAAATATATTTGACGGCCCAGTGGGTCTTGATTACTGTACGTGTTTATATTAATCCAGCGTTTAGACAGATGCGATCCTTGATAACCACAGACAACTAACAACCAATCAGAGCTAGTGCATGGGATCGATCGATTCCAGTCTCCCTGGTCCCACACTGCGCCTTCACGTGGATCTGTGGCACGGCGTCCGGCCAGTGTTTTTATATCGAATCTCGTCTTCCATCCCGAAATCAACTGATGCGATGGAAATGACGCACGAGTTCTGTGCTGGGACGTACGACCAAGTCCTTATCTCTCTATCTCCACACGTATACAAGGCTGTGTTTAGTTCGTGAAATTTGGAAATTTGGCTATTGTAGTATTTTTGTTTTTATTTAGTAATTAATGTTTAATCATAGACTAACTATGTTCAAAACGTTCGTATCGTGATTTCCAACCAAACTGTGCAATTAGTTTTTTTTTTCGTCTATATTTAATGTTTCATGCACATATCATAAGATTCGATGTGATAGCTACTATAGCACTTTTTAGAAATTTTTTTGAAACTAAACACAACCTAATTTCCTAGATGGAGGCCTTGTTTAGATCCCATCAAAATTCCAAGTTTTTTCACTCTCTCTCCATCACATCAATTTTTGGACACATGTATGGAGCATTAAATGTAGGTAAAAAAAATAATTAATTACACAGTTTGGTTGTAAATCACGAGATGAATCTTTTGAGCCTAGTTAGTCCATGATCAGACAAAGTTTGTCAAATACAAACGAAACGTGCTATAGTGTCCGAATTGCAAAAAATTGCAATCTAAACCAGGCGGAAACGTCAACTAGGCACTAGTGGTTGCTGCATGCCGCGGCAAGATCCACGTCCCCGTGTGTACGATTATTGTTCGAAATGTTCCACTTCCACGTCCTACGCCTACCGCGATGAATAGGAAATGTAGGGGCAACCCGAGAGACACATGGGTGCTTATGCCCATTTGGTCGAGCTGGGATGGGCTGGTATATTTTACTTGTAATAATTCAATTAACTAAAAATGATGAAGGCTGCCTTTTTTTGACAACAAAAATGAAGGCCGCCTTAAAATTGTGTGCATAAATCATTTGGAGATTGATTACTAATCAAGGTACTAATGAATTTAACGCACCAAAAGATCAACGCAAGTCTAGAACGGATTTTGAGCACAAAATTAGCAGAGATCCACAAAATGTGTTAACGATCGATACTAATTTGAGCACAAATCAGCACAGTTCCGTAAGATTGAAAGTGAGAGAAGAGGCTCGCTACGGCCGCCACATTGCCCCTAGCTGCAACCAACGTTGTCGTGCCAATTAAACTGCGCGGTGTCACCGTGCTGCAGAGACACCAAATTTGACATGAAGTATCATCTAGATCTCAAATTAACTTTCAAAATGTATGTTAAGTCCCTAAGTTTGCTAATTGTATCACGTAATGTCCTAATCACTATAATTAATCTTAATCCGATTGCTCATTATACGATGACAAGACCAATCACGTAGTACCCACATGACATGTTCATCTTCTCTGTTTCACACCCTTCTCTCTCCTCTCTCATCAGGGCAGAGTCAGAGGAAATTTGATAAAGCGTGCTTGCTTTGTGGATGCATATATTTTTTATTGTAGAAGTGCATATAAGATGAAAAAATTATCACAATCAGTAGTTTTTTCATTTTGTTGTGCCCCGTGGGTATGCTGCACCATAGCTCTATACATAGTTTCGCCTTCAGTGGTGGACCTAGGGTTTCATAGTTAGATATGCTCAATGAGGAGAGAAAGATAAAAAAATCTTTATATACAGAGAGAAGAGTTACACTTTTTGCATGTTTTAATGCATGAGAAGTAACTACTCTAAATGTCTTTTGACAGGAGAGAAATGTATTAATAAATTAATGATAGTACTTTATATGTAAAATATATAAGATAAAATGAACAGTCCACAGAGTCCAAAGGAACTGAGTGGGCAGCTCCTGGCGGCGGTGCCAACGTAGCCGAAGAGCTGGCCGTTGACGGTGTTGACCTCCGCCAAGTGCTGCAGCAGCGACGACGCGATTGCGGCGCTAGTAAGCCACAGGGCCTGGTCGTGTAGTCAAGGGTCCATAATATTTTTTAATAAATACAGATGATTTTTTTTAATAACATACAATAATAAGCACTGGATTTTCAAGTTATCGTTTGTGGATAAAAAATTGCATCGAGTATCAGAAGTTGAAAGTCTAAAACAGATTCATAGTGTCACATAAAGAGATTCATAATGTCACATAAAGAGATGCAACAGGAGCTTATATAAGCTTAATTTAACTAAATACATATAGGATCGGAGACACGCAAAGGTACAATGTAAAAGATGAAAATACAAATCTTAATATTTCAATCTTGAGGACCCTAGCTAAGGGCGCCTCTAAATTAAACCTTATGAGACACGCTTAAAAAAATCATAAAAACTATCGCCAATATTATAAATATCTAGCCACCAATTCAATAGCCTTTAATGTCAAGGGTAATAACAACCATTGGACCTATTCTATTTTTAAAGGATTATCCACCTTTGTCATTATGAAAACAATATAAATTTTCAATTGTGAAAGATAATTTGATATATAATCTAGTAACTCCTTGAAATGTACTAAACTACCACTTTCTGCCATTCCAGGAACAAAACTAAAATATACCCTCAAATCTACATCTAAATTACTAACATATGCTATTACAAAAAAATATATTTAAATAACCATGAATTATGCGTACATAGATGTTTCTAAGCCACACCCTCATATTAATATTAATGTATTAAAAACTAACTAAGGTGACTATGATCTTCCTAGTCTTTGATATTCATATGCAGTAAATAATGATTATAAGCTTCAAACAACTCCATCTTAAATCTCACTTTAAGCTTTATTTGAGCAACAGTTTAGATGACCTTGATGCCATCATAGTATCTATATAATTAAGTATATCTATTATAAGGAATATTGACTATTGTATTTTTTTAGTTTACAAAATAAAGATTTTTTATAGAATATTATTTTTATAGAATACTATTTTTTATAGATATAGAATAAAATTATAGATATAGAATAAAAAAGTATTCTATAAAAATGAATGGGATTGATAATAAGAAAATTGCAAAAAAGGGGAACTAAAAAGGGGAATTCATTAAATAAAATATTTTATTTTTCTTTTCCCATTCTCATCGCCTTTCTATCCTTCTAAACAAACTTGATATGGTCTACAACCTAAAATGTTTAATTTTAAAAGAATACAAAAGAAGAGTTAATAAAATATGCAATATGCACAAGTGTTTTAACTTAATTCAACATAAAAATTTGTAGCAACTAATAAGATAAGAAATTGAAAATGAAATAACTACATATTCATGATGCCATGAGATATGGATTGTAACATGATCCATCGGAATTTAAGCTAAGATTTGAACAAAATGCACACCAAAAGATACATGCAACTGCCAGCAGAGAGGAAAAAAACTATGAATATGGACGAAAAACATATAGGTTGGCCATTGATAGGTTTTATTAAAACTGGATAGAGATTACATAGTATCTATATGCATACATGTATTGAATTAATGTAAGTACTTTTATTAGTCGTAGACATTAAAAGCGTCCGAATTAATGTAAGTATTTTTTTCTTGAACACGCAAAAGGTTTGTGCGTCTTTGTATTAAGGTAGATGAAAAGTTCAATACAACACGACTTACCGGCGCCCTAGGGGGCCAATGAGCTGTACATGAACAGTCAAGCCCTTCCAAGTGTACTAATGTAAGTATTTTTATTAGTTGTAGATATTAAACATGAACATTTAAGGCTTATGGCTCATAAGATTTTAGTTTGGTAGACTAGAGAGTCCTAAATTGATTTAGATTCCGCTCCATTCCAAAAATATAAGTTGTTTTGACTTTTCTAGATAGATATGTTTTGTTGTACATTTAGACATGCATATGCTATGCCTAATGCATTGTAAGAACTATATATATGTATTAAAGAAGTTAAAATAACATATAATTTAGAACGTAACAAGGAATAATTAGCCAAAGTTTTTTTTTTCCACCAACACCAAACCTTGCAATGGAAACACCATGTGACCAGGATATTCACTTCATTATTGGGAAACCAAAAGTAAATATTACAATCATCCCTGGTAAGTGGTAACCGCAAGCACACCAAGGAGGACTACACTTCACCAAGGACCAAGCCTACGAACCTTTTATTGCCATGCTTCTCAATTGTGGATAAAATGAAACGGATAACGTACGGGAATCACCGCTAGCTATTCCCTGCTTGCATGCAAGTCATGCGCTGTCCTGAGGCATCTGTGATCAGATGGAGATGCTGTTGGGGATGCCCTTGGCGGTGACGCCGGCGTTGTCGCCCTTGTTGTCGGAGGTGTTGGGGAAGAGCAGCGTGTAGGGGAACTGGGCCTCGCTGTACCGGTTCTTGTAGCGTGGGTCCTTGTTCATGGCCTCCACGCGTTTCTCGATCTCGATCAGCTGCGCCCCGAATCGCTTGAACGCCTCCTGCGCCTTGGCGTCCGACGTCCACTCCTTGGTGTCGCGCTGGCCGAGGTACACCTCGTCGGAGGAGTGGCTGGACAGGATCTCCAGCAGCGAGATGCCGACGACGGCCTGGAACTGCGTGGTGATGGAGCGAACGAAGAACTTCTCCGGGTTCTTCTCCAGCTCCTTGTACGCGTCGGAGCCCGGCACCGGCATGGGCCGCCGGCTCACGGACGGCCGGTTCGGGTGGTACCCGCAGTACGGGTACTGCCCGAAGTTGACGGCGGCGTGCAGCGCCGACGCGATCCAGATGATGGTGGTGCAGGCCTTGACGAGCTCTGGCACCGTCTGCATCTTGGGCCACCAGGGCTCGTCCTTGAGGTCGGCGTGCCCGACCTCGCGCGCCTCCTTCCACCACGCCTGCAGCTCCACGTCCGCCTGCAGCACGCCGTCGTTGGGGTAGTAGATGCCCAGGTACTCCGTCACCCACTGCTCGATGGCGTGCCAGACGGCCAGCCCGTCCGACGCGTACGGGTAGTCCTCGATCAGCAGCCGCACCTTGTAGGGGCTCGACGGATCTGGAACGGCCATGCCTCTGCATTGCAGTTGCAGGAGCACGCACGATTGTTAATTTAATTGTTAGTTGTTAACTGTTGTTGCTGCTGGACGATGTCTGCAGTGAGTGTACTAGTGTCAGTGTCGTCGATCAGTTAAATTATTACCGCTTGATGAGGTCGTCGGGGAGGGCCTGCTCGGCGAAGTTCCAGCTGCCGTAGACTTTGGAGGAGATCTCGATGGCGTACTTGCGCGGGAAGACGGTCATCTCGAAGATGCCGCCGGCGTTGATGAGCTTCTGTCGCGCGAGCGCGTTGATGTTCATGGTGTCGCGGTAGTGCGGCAGCAGCAGCCTGTGCACGGGGTGCGTCACGCTGAGCTGCCGGTTGGTGGCGATCACGAACGGCTCCATCACGGCGTGCGTGTTGAGCCAGTGGCTGATGCCCTGGTGCCAGCAGTAGTCGTTCACGTTGACGTAGGCCTTGGCCAGGTGCCACACCCACGCCTCCGCGCCGGCCGTCGGCGGCACCGGCGTGTACACCGTGCTCTTCGCGGCGGTGATGCCGTCCCGGAGCTCGGGGAGGCTCATCTCGATTGCCACCGGCGCGAGCGTGCCGTTGCCGCGCAGGAACAGCAGCGTCCGGGTGGCGTAGATGAAGTTGTCGTCCAGGCTGTTGACCTCGATCAGGAACGGCATGTAGTGGTCGTGGTGGTCCAGGATGTAGAGCCGGTTGCTGTCCAGCGCCTGCTGCACGGTGAGGCCCTCCAGGCTCCCCGCGATGTGCGCCTCCGTGATGGTGCTCGTCTGGTCGCCGTACTTGCTCGGGTCAAGGGTGCTTTTCGGAGGGAACTCCTGATGATCATCCAAGACGCAGGATAATAATGTTACTACTTGGTTGCCGAGACACTGGTATCAAGCAAGGCCGCCCATGGTGTGTTGGCGCGCCTCCACAGTCCACTCACCGTGAGACGCCTGATGATCAGGGGGTTCACGCCGGCGAGGCTCTCCCTTGCGAACTCCTCGTCACTCATCCAAGCTTTCTTGTCCTCTGCATTTGCAGGTATGTAAGAGACATCTTGCCGAAGCCAGAAATGATCCATTAGCCAGCGTGCGATTTAACCGTACCTTTGATGATTTTGGGCATGGGGAGCTTGAGGACGTAGTCGCCGCCGGCGGGCATGAGGTCCTTGACCATCTGGAGGGGGAACTGCTTCCGGAACTCCTCGAGGGCGGGGATGTCGGGCAGCTTGATCCCGCCCTCGTACAGCCGCAGGATGTCCTTGAAGGAGTTGAACTCAAGGCCGAGGAAGTAGCCTTGGAGGATGGGCACCAGGCCGTCGGCGAACGCCTTGATCGTGTAGCCATAGAAGTCGGAGTTCTTGATGTGGCCGAACCGCTCGTCACGCGGCACGTAGACGTCGCCGTCGGTCAGCGTCAGCCTGCTCTCGCTGCTGGGGTCTGTCTGCGTCGGCTTCCGGCCCGTGCGGCCGCGGCGCGGGTAGGGGTGGTCCTTGGAGCCGCCGAGGACGGGGCGCGGGTTCCCGCCGTCGGGGTTGCCGAGGTCGTTGTAGACGTCGTAGCGGTAGACGCGGTCGTGCTCCTGGTATGGCCCCTGCTGGTCGTCGCCCCTCAGGTTCCGGAGCTCGTCGTCGCGGTATGGCTTCAGCGCCGCCGGCATCTGGCTGGGCAGGTACGTCTGTATGTAGACAAGAGAAGACCGTGTGTGTTCATGTCAAGAGACTCACTCAGCTCAGCTTCTTGGTTTGCTAACGAATGGCGAATGGGCGGCTACTCACGTCGTTGGAGAAGAAGACGCGGTTGTAGCGGTACTTGTACTGCGGGTAGATCCATGAGTTGGCGACGAAGACGACGGTGCCGTGGCCGGGGACGTCGTCGATGGTGATGGTCTTGAGGAAGAACTCGGACGCGTGGTTGTTCTTGACGATGATGGCGCCCGGGACGCCGTGCTTCTCCACCTCCCAGTCGAAGGTGACGTGGAACTGGTTCTCGCCGGACAGCAGCGGCGGCGGCTGCAGCAGCCACTGCTCCAGGCTCGCCTCCGCGCCCACCTTCCCGCGGTTCCCGTTGTCTGCACGCGCGCGCGCGCCGGTCAACGTCACCGTCACTACCAGACCAACGTGTAAAATGTACTCCTACAGTATACATATCCGTTCTTTATTTGTCTAAACTAGATTTAAAGTGGCCCGATTGGTCGTCATTTTCGTCGATGATTGTCTCAAGCATCCGTATTTTTTTTAGGGAAAGCATCCGTAGTTTTACTAGTTTTGTCGCTTTCTTTTTCTGGAAACGGCATTTTATTATTATTACTGACTGATGCATGTGCGAGAACCGAGAGGGAGAGGACAGAGGAGGGAGGGTGCTCTGCTCAGTGCTCACTGGGGTCGACGACGGTGGAGCTGATGAGCTGGCAGGTGACGCCGCGGCCGAGGAACTCGCCGACGCCGTCGATGACGGCGCTGGCCATGCTAGTGACGTCGAAGCCGAGGACGGTCTTGCGCATGAGCACCACGTTGCCCTTGAGGTGCGCATTCTTGTTGCTGCCCGTCAGGTCGCCGATGACCGGGATCTTTCCGAGGCTTCCGAACATCTTCGGTTCTGCTTCTACGGGCAGAGCTGCTAGTGGCTAGCTGTGGACTGTGGGTATTTGCTGTGTGTGGGTGAGTGATCGATGGGCGAGTAGGCCAGCTATTTATAGAGCGGGAGACGAGCTGGGGGGCTGGTGAAGATAAGCCGTCCACTCGTCCAGCATGATTCGAAATAAAACAACGTGTGTCACGTTACCGTGTGTGAACTAGGAGTACTACTTGCTACTGGATGTTGGTGTAATTATTGTCAAGTTATCTAAGCTAGGACCAGTTCTCAATTGTGGTGGGTTACGATTTATCACGAGTGCCTACGCGCATGTGATGTGTTTCAGACTCCTCGACACGCCTCGCGCCCATGTGCGAGTTTGTGTACCTGTGTAGTAGTAGCAGCAGCAGCAGCAGCTCTTGTGTTAATGAAAGGGCTGACCTCTATAACAGCAATGTTCGTTTCGGCTGGATTGGCTTATAAGCCATGGCTGAGAGTACTACTGGCTGGTTTGGTGTGAGAGAAAAATATTGTTCGTTGACTGATAAGTCAAGGCTTATAAGCCAAATACAGGCTGCCGAACAATTACCGCATGACTGCATCTTCCCAGCGTAATCTATTAGTACACTGCAAGCAAGATCTTTTTCAAGGCATTGAACTCCTCCACCTATTTTGTTTTTGGGCCCGGCTTCCACTAAACAAACTGGACCGATACTTTGTTTTCTATTTCTTCGTCTAATATAAATCGCGGCAAAGCTTTTGCCGTTCCTTTAAAAAAACTTCCGTCAAGTGGTTTCAGGGAAGAAATTTTTTTAAAGTTGGTATAAGAGTAGTGGCAACCTTGGATAAGATAGCCGCAGAACAAATAATGAATACGAGTATATAACTTTTTCAAATTAAGTTGATTGTTGAAGATAAAATTTATATAAAATTTATAGTTGATAACATTTCATTTGAGAACGTATAGGAGCTCAAATATATTAAGTTCTCATATTCTAAAATTAAAAATTTTAAATTCTTCAACGATCTCATATGGAGACAACCGGCGATATCTAAAATATTGTAGTTGATTTTTTTTTCATTTAATATTGTTTAGAAGCCAAAATATGCAACACAATTAATACACGTGTCGTTTGTTTTTTAGATGATTTCTTGTTTCCCACTCTGTAACTAACAGTGCTAGCTAGAGAGTTAACACCCGCTCGACCAAAATGACGACATTAGGGGAAAGAAATTTTTCGAAGCTGGTATAAGAATTGCAATAAACATTTTAATGGTACATATGGTCGATCATTTTCTTCAGGAGCGCACAGGAAATTGGCTCTTGTTTTTTAAGGTATATTAAGATGTCAGAAAGACTTCTATGGTATACTTTGACCAATACTTCCTCATGCAATATACATATCAATTGCTATAAACCAACATTTCATTAAAAGATATTCCCTCAGTATCAAAATAAATAACTTTCTGAAAATTTTCAGACAGATCAAGAACACTGACAAAACACGCATATATCATCATCTTCTTTTCTTTTCTGAAGAATATCTCCTGGATTTGGTAATTATTATTTGCATGCATCCGTGATTAGCTTCCGCATTGGAAGATAATGTCCCATATATTTTTATAGAATGTTATTTTTTCTAGAATAAATTTTAAATCTAAAAACGTTATTTATATTGGAACAGAGTGTATCATGTAAAAATCAAGGTCCAACTCCACTCCACGCTCAGAAACTCAGTCCACTGTTACTTTTTGCACTCCCAAGATCAAGAACCTAAGATTTGTTGGGTTCGCTTTGCGTTTGCGATGGATGCAGTTCCAGCGCGTGGATGACTCCCGCTCTTGGGTCGATCTGCCACGACCTGCCTCTCATGAGAAGGAAGTGATGACAATCTTCAGGGTCAGAGATGGCTCGTCGAACCGTACGGGTCTGGATGGACAACTGGATTATTGGTAAATCGGTGAGGGTCCTTGCACAGCTGCACGCACCACAGCTCTTGCTAGAAACTCTCGGTGCGGGATGTAGTCTTATCAATCTTTACTGGGCACACAGGACATTGGGGCAGCTTCTAGATTCCCTGCCCTCCCTGAAGAGCGGGGGGGGGGGGGGGTGGGGGCAAAAACCCTCCTGTTCATTAAAAAAAAATCACCCTGCCGTCAAATGGCTTTGGAGAAGTCAGTGCCAACCCAAGCATAAAGTTTTCTTCTGGTTGTTGATCAAGGACAGGCTTGAGTACCAAAAATATTTTGGAACATGCATTTGGATTCTCATAACTATGTCCTAAGCAACCTTCTGACCGAGGAAACAGTGGATCACCTCTTCATCAATTGTCCATTTGCAAGAATGTGCTGGGATATGCTAAACATTGACATCCCAATTAATTGTAGTTCCCAGAACTGACCACCAATATGAGAACACAGGTGAACACCCCTTTCTTCATGGAAGCCATAATACTGATGTGTTGGACTATTTGGACAGCAAGGAATGATCTTTTCTTCAAGGGCATCACAATGAACCTGACTGACTGCCGAAGGGTTTTCTTCAAAGAACTAAGACTCCTGCAGTTTAGAATCAAGACAAGACAAGAAGACCAATTCTCATCATGGATACAAAATCTGGAGCTAATAGTTGCCTAGAGTTGATTTTCTTTGTTTCTTTCTTTGTTTTCTAGGCTTCTTACCTCTGTTTCCCTCTCTACTTTTTGTATGCTCTCGCTACTTTTATTTTTTAAATAAATTACTGTAGGAGCTTAGGCCCGTCCAGATTTCTCAAAAAAAAACATTGGGGGTAGCTCTGACAGAGCAAGTCATCAACCGGTACCTCTTCATCAAGGACTTGGTCGATGGCTGGGAGCTACGTATTGGTAACTCTGATCTCTTCATCTGGAGGTGGTCAAACGATCTGCAGTACTCGGCTTCTATACCACTTTTTGGTGCCAAGCTAGAAGGATCTTCAATCAAGTGACTTCTGCTGTTACCGTTCTAGTGCAGAAATTCATCGAAGAAGCACAAGCGTGCGTTCAGCCGGCCACTCGATCTCAAGTCAGATGGTTAAAATTGTCAGAGTGTTCGGAAGGAAAGTAAAATGCAAGTTTTTTTTTTCTTTACCGTAAAGCTACTATTAAAACGTTGGGAGGCCGGACGCCTCGCTCCACTTACTACCAAATACGCCGCTCGTCTAATAAAAAAACAAAATCAACTTCAGCATGCCTCGCTCCACTCCGCTTCGCTCCCGCACGCAGTGCTCGGCTCCGCTCCTGCATGCGGCGCTCGAAATGCGGCACACGGCTGCCCTCTCCTGGTTTTGGCGCGCGGCTGCCGATTTTTTTTTATTTTTCAGCCCATTTTTTGAAAAATATTCACAAATAGACCCCTGGTGATTTGATTTTCGTTTATGGACCTGACCTCGGCGTCATGGCTTTTGGCGTCGAGAAAACACGTCTTGGCGGCATGGCCAATGGCGCCGAGGTCTCGGCGAGGCGTCAGACGTGGCGGTGACCTGGCGCCGAGCTGTTACCCTATAGATCTTGGCGTTTAAAATGAAACAAGTATAATTGTTTTGAGAAACGTGCAACAATGTCATTGTGGTTTAGCTGGTTAGAATGCGCACGACTTAGCTCAAAGGTCTAGATTCAAACCCCAGAGTTGAATCTTTTTTTTCTACATTTTTCGGCTTCCTGACTCAGTCGCTCTCTTCTCATATCATATCAAACACAGCATAACCATCGTGTGCAAGCTAAGTGCAGCAAGGCTTCCTGACTCCAGCGCTGAGGCTGTGTGTTTAGTTCGTGAATTTCGAGAATTTGGCTACGGTAGTATTTTTGTTTTATTTGACAATTATTGTTTAATTATAGACTAAGTAGGCTTAAAACGTTTGTCTCGTAATTTTCAACCAAACTGTGTAATTAGTTTTTTTTTGTCTACATTTAATGCTCCATGCACGTATCGCAAGATTTGATGTGATGATTACTGCAGCACTTTTTGGAACTTTTTGAACGCCCTGATCGGGTCGATTCCATCGAACTGAATTGACACGCACAGTAGGAGTATAGTATTACGAGTACGTGTCATGTGTGCACATCTGGATTCGTACATATATTTGCAGTAAAAAAAACGGAGAGACGACGACACCGATCGATGGTCCAGTCTCTAGCTATAGCAGGCTGATTAAGGGGGTGTTTAGTTGGTGAGTTGAAAATATTTGGTGTCATATCGGATGTGTTGGGAAAATATTAAGAAGGGTTTTTTATACTAATAAAAAAACAAATTACGGAACCCATCAGAAAACTGCGAGACGAATCTAATGATACTAATTAATCGGTCATTAGGACACGTGGGGTTACTGTAGCACTTAAGGCTTTTCATGGACTAATTAGGCTAAAAAGATTCGTCTCGCGATTTCCAATCTAACTGTGTAATTAGTGTTTTTTCGTCTATATTTAATGCTCTATGCATGTACCGTAAAATTCAATGTGATATTTTGAGTTGAAAGTTTTTAGGACCGCCTAACTGTAAAGGACGACGGACCGCGACACGGACGGTCGGACGTCGGTTTTCCTAAGGGCTTCGGCTGGTAGGAAAGTCGGTTGATAAGTAGACTGAAGCTGTTTTTAATTTGTTCGTTTGGTCATAAATGATCATGGATTATAAATCAGAACAATATTTTTTTCTCATATTAAATCAGGCAGCAATAATAATCCACAATCGTTTTAGCCGAAATGAATAGAACTGTTTGCTGTAAGAGAAAAATATTATAGATTCTAGCCGATAATTTCAAGGGAACCGGCCGCGAGACTCCAAAGGTGCGGCAGCTGCCACGTTTGTTTAATAACGGGCCACGCACTTCACGGGAGCCAAAGTTTAAAATCTTTTGCTGTTTCCGGCTCACAAGTCGCCATAGTACTCATTGTTATTTCTTTGGGTTCCCGTCGCCATATGCATGCATGAATTATTGCTACGTACTTATTTATTCTCCGGTACCCATTAAAAAAACCCGGTTTAAGACAAGCTAAGGTA